ACCGTTCGTTCTGTTCTTCGATGATGGATCACGTTTCATTGAGTTGGACGATCGGTGGAATTTTTACGTCCTGTAAGTAGTGCAATAATGTCCGAATGAAGCGCATCTAGGTATGAGAAGTACAGCTCTGCAAGCAGTCCGAATAAACGCTTTGCTTTCGTTGGCTACATGACGGTTTACAAATTCTACACCTATCCGGAGCACATTAGGCCTAGAGTGAGCCAGTTAGTGATCCTGCCACCCTTTCAGGAAATGGGTCATGCTACTCGTCTGCTTGAAACAGTCTACGAACACCTGACTCCACTCCCCGAAGTTGTTGATATTACTGGTAAGATCTGAGTAGGGTGACTCCTAGAGCTAATGTCACTTCAATAGCCTACTGAGTTGAATGGTGTTTTATTTCCACTTGATGGTCACGAGGTTTACTACTCCCATGATCCGCACTTTGTGGACTGTCCTTACGGGAAAAATGCAAACTTTAATTTCGAGCAACCTGAAGACGGCCGTCTTAGTGCTAACGCGCTTTGGGACTTATGTGACAGAAGTTAGTTAGTTCTGTTATGTGCATGTACCAGGGTAGAATATTCGCTATTTCATCGTTCAAGTCATGAGGACTGTAGTGCCGCCGCCACTTGCATAGAATGCTCACGTAATAAGTAAATTAGTGTCGGTCTTAGTCATGTGTCATTGCGTCTAACCTGTTGTTAGCCGATAGTCTACTCAAATATCGTCATAGTTGCCAAACTAGTGTCCATTGTCTCAATTGAGGTTATGATTCACGCCTTTAGTCGAAGACCCCTCCGAGGATTTGATACGACTTCGTGATTTCCTCGACTGCAAGCGCTGTCTCCAATTGGCTGAGTGCGCTGAAATTCTCTGTGAAAAAAAGACGGAGGTGCAGGATGGCGGAGAAGACGCGCCACCCAGCGCGAAGCGAAGACGTCAAAGCACCACTGTGGTCGAGGGTCAAAGTGCTTCTGCTGCAACTCGCTTCTCTGATGTCGCAAGGAAACGGCTCAAGTTGTCCCGCGCCCAATCACGGCGCGTCTACCAGATTCTCACATTTTTCCTCCTCGTCAGGGAGAAACCGGAGGCCGTGCGGGCCTACCACAGGGCGCTTCTCGAACGTACGCGTATCACACACGTAAGTATCAACTGGTAAATTGGCTCCTGCAAGATTTCAGTAGTTTGCTCTGAAACATCGTGTCTGCGTGGCGTCATTTCTCAATCGATTTACTCTCAATTAAGAAGTCTTGATCGCCTGCCCTGCCTCAGGCTCAGGCGAGTTTAGCATTAGTTTCTTTCCTTCATTACCAATTTTACAAGCTGAGATGTGGAAAGCAGAGATAATCAGGTTCTTAAATTCTCCAGACAAACAGGTATCCTGTTTAAGCTCCAGCTGCAACTACTAATCGTTTGGGGACTTATTGTAACCAGAGGAAGTGCCTTGTGAGTCGCCAACTGCGTGCTTGAGTTCTGATAAGTGTTTCCGTACCGGGTTGTCATCATGCTAACCGCTACGTCCGTCCGGAAATTGAATCCGTCTCTGCCATGTTTTAAGGAATGTCAAGCGAATCAGTGACAATTGTTGTTTTAGTAGGGCGATGTTTTACATATAGGTCCCTAACGCAAGTCGTGGGCTTCAGCATCAGTTCGTAGTATCCGGTTTGTCATAAAGGCATTTCGCGGTTCTTGTTCGTGGTTACTAGCTAAATTACAGGGGATATGTACTTTTGGTTTGATGAGCCCTGTCATCACGAAGTCCATTTAGAACGAAATCGAAACGCGAAAACCGCATCCACACACGCGTAAAAGCGTAAAGCTTGAAGCCATAGCAGTAATATTATTTTACCGTTGTCCCTGTTTCAATGCCGCTAGCAAAATCATAGCACAGCCAGCCATGGTCGAATCTATCATGACATACTACAATCCAGGGAATGTATATGCCGTGTATGTTGTTCACAAGCAACGATTCCGCTTTCTTGCAATTGATTTTCAGTATTAGTGCAAATATGTTGAAAACTATAGAGTCCTGGATCCGATGCAACCT